ATAGAACAGAAACTATCAATACCTTAACATTAAGCAAAAACTACATCACTATAAAGCTTAGAATAAATGTATATGTAATCATGGAGTACTTTATTATTATCTAATATTACATGCAATCACTTGTATATAATATTAGATTTTTAATAAATTTAAATTTTTTTTATCTATTTCATATTTGGAATGCAATGGGATACTTTCTGGTTTTAAAAAATATCAATTTTCAGATGAATAACTTCGACAGAAATAAATAAAACTACAGCTGAAATTTTTATAAAGTAACATAAAACCTTAAGATGCAAGAAGTCATAATTAAAATAATAAGAAGTCCAAGAAAAAATAATAAGACAAAGTAAGACTACTCGAATAACGAATAAAATAAAAATGATAATAACTGTCCGAACATACGACAATTCAAGCATAAACGAGCTACAACTGCCAATGTTTTGAAGTAAGTAAGATGGCCGACGGTTAATTTCGCGGTTAACATTGCCGAGCTTTCGGCTTCACGAATTTCTGCTAGTGTCTCCTCCATCTACTCCTAGCTCCATGGGTCAAACATAGTGTTTACTACAAATGATGTTGAATTTGATTCAGCAGTTTTCGCGCTATCGAGCTTTAAAAATCACGATATTTAAATATGGCCACCCTATAGTATGGAGAAAAGCTACGTTATCCTATTGTCTTTTTTAACTTCATTTAGCTTTCACAAACTATATGGGAAATTCGGACTTACCTTGTTCTTGCACCAAGTCCTACAAGAAGACTATTATTTGTAATTTTCCGCAATGAAAAATGTAATTGAAGCTATTGAGGCAGTAAAAAGGCGGTTTTGTATTGATAGAGAAAAAGAAAAAAAATTTTACTGATGTAAGTCCCAGAATCAGAGTCATAAGTCATTCTACGTTTTGTATCACATTTAATCTGCAGATTAAACAAAGCGGTTCCTTAACCAATGAATTGAGAAATTCTCCTTCCTTTGGATCAACAAACGTAAATCGTGCATTTAGTCTTTTTAGTCATGCTGTATCTTTTTATTTTTTGTTTCAAAATTTAGCTATCATTGACGGGTAGTACGACTTTTTACAGTAGACACAATAAAATTTTCATCTGGAAAACTTGGGCTTTTTAGGGTTTGAGAGCAGTAAAAGTTACGAGCATTTGATCAAATTAAACAATGAACCAAATGTAAAACCGAATATTCTAAATATTTTTTGGTCTAAAGATTAGAATGTCGCACACTCCTCTGCTATCTCAATGATTTAAGAGGCAGACTTTAAGCTAATGAAAAGCCGCAGTCGAAAGATAATTATGAATTCATATGAAAACATTTCAGTAAAAGCTTGACGTAACGGCAATTTTCGAGAAACCTGCTATTACTGTACCGTCAAAATCCTAATATTAAACATACAAAAACTGTATGTTTATATTGAGTTAAAAATTACTAACCATAGGTTGTTATTACCAATTTCTTTTCAGATAAATACATTTTTCTGTTGTTAAAGTGAGTAGTATATTATGCGATAAAGATTTAAATAGAAGACGTTTTTATTTTTTTCTGGTATCTATACAGAAAAACGAAAATCTACTTCCTCCTCACAGTTTTAGCTCTTTATTTGTGCCAAACAATGCTTGTGCGACTACCAGCTAATTCTTACCAAAAGAAAATCTTCTGCAGTCTCAAAGAGAATGCACCTTTTGTTGACCACATCTATCATGCCCCCTTGTTTCTCTTTTATTAAAAAACACATTTGTAATTTAAGACGGATTTTGACTTGAACTGTAAGGATTATCCGTAATTTAGAAAGTCTGGTCCAAATAATTTAACTAAAAAAGTACTCGAGCCTCTGTTAGCAGTTTAAGTAAAAATATCTTGGTCTAATAGAAAAGGTTTTATTTTTAAACTAAAGTAAAATCATATAAGGGGCCGTTCAAATACTACGTAGATATGTTTTTGGCAGTTTGGCCTCCCCTCCTTTTTAGCAAAGTGAGAAAACCCTCCTCTCATGCTTGGGTAAGAAATTCTCCTTGCTTTTATTTTTACTGGTAACACCCTCCCCTTGTTTTTATTTTTACTGGTAACACCCTCCCCTTGTTTTTACTTTTACTGGTAGCACCCTCCCCTTGTTTTTACTTTTACTGGTAACACCCTCCCCTTGTTTTACCTTTACTGGAAAAATCTAACTTAGAAAACAAATTTAAATAAAAATGTAACTTTATATAAACTATTTGGTTTAAATTTTATAAAGTTTCGAATATTGTCTTGAAATTTTTCGAGGTTTCTTTCGGTCTTGACTTCTAAAACTCATTAAAGAAATTTTTTCCCCCAAATTCAACTTTAATTACAAATAAAAAAACTTTACAGATTTTATATTTTCAAATTTTTTTTGTTGTATATTTGCACTTACCAAAATCCTGCTATTTTCACTTTTTTTAAAATCTCATACGCAAGCATTGGACATACCACCCCGCTCCTTGTAAGTAACAATAAGCAAATCTGAAATCCCTCTTCCGTTAGATACTTTCTTAACATTTGAACTGCCACAAATTAAATATTTACGTAGCTTTTGCAGACAATACAAGACTTTAGTCTTTGTAAGTAACTGTATTTCATCGAAACTGCGAGAAACTGTGCTCACGTTGAATTGTCACTACGACGAGTTGAGCCCGCGAAGAATTGTACCTACCACGAATTATCATCATGACTTGTTGTGCCCACAACGAATAGTCATTGCGACGAATTGTGCCCTCTAAAAATTGTGCTTGTGATGAATTGTGCTCACAACGAATTGTTCCCTGAAAAATTGCACCCCTCCAATCGTCGCCGTGACGAATTGAGCACGGCATATTGACTCAGAACGAACCTAACTGTTTTGATATTATTGGTTTTTTTATCTCTTTGTTTGCAAGTATAGTTTGTCTGCGTTAAAAACTCCTCCCGCCAAAAAGTCTGAAGCCGGAGGCTGCTATGGAGACAAGAATAGGGCATTTCAGGGAAGGTAGCTTCTCTTCATTCTAAGGCTAACGCAATAAATCGAAGAAAAATATTCCCTTTTTCGCAGACCAGTCAAAACCTGTTCTAAACAATGACCCTAGACCCCTGCTTGAAATAGTTATACCTCGTCACAGCCGCGAGTCTAGACGAATAGCTAGGGGAGTTATTACTTTAGACAAACTATAGTCTCTTCCAGTTGCTAGCACGCAGGCAAGGCATAGAGAGCAAAATGATGCGTCAAAAACAAGAGGAAATGAAGGACTAAACTGGAATGTAACTTTTACGTCAAAAATACCATACCGTGTAATATTACGTCAAAAACAGGTAACATGTTAAAGATCTATTCCTCGAGCTATTAAGTACGAAAAATTCTGATCCTCAGGATTTTTTCTTTTCGCAGCCCTCAGTGCCATTTCGGTAACCATATTTTTTTGCCCTCACTTCTGGAAAATTTGACTCTAAGCCTACCTTGACTTTACTTCACTTTTCTTTCTTGACTTTCTTTTTTGACGCCCTCACTTTTTGACCTACCTTTTTGTTCCTTTAACTTTACACAATTTAATTTCTCTAACTGAGGTAACCGAACACCAGAATAGCACATAATAATTTTTTGCCCTCCATGAAAACCAAATATCAGAATCACGTATTAATTATTCTACATTTGTAGGTTATGTATATGTATTATTTACTGGGTCATCGACTAATAGAGCTGCCTATAGATGTAAACAGAAAAGCGACCATGGCAGAAAATACTTTTGTTCTAGCACTAGATGGTGATATTAATTTCAGACCACATGCTGTCCAACTGTTAGTGGATCTTATGAAAAAGAACAGAAACTTAGGTGCAGCATGTGGACGAATCCATCCTGTTGGTTCAGGTACGTCTGGTTTAACTGTGTCATTTTGTTTGAAATACATGTTACCACAGTAATGACGAGAAATTTAGCTGATGTGGAAAAAGGGCTTGTGACATATCAGTGAATTTAAGAACATCAGCCTTAAAAAAAAAAAAAATAAAAAAAAAAATCTAGCAACAGCAGAAAGTTGTCTACGAAACATGTTTTTTAAAAAACTATCTTGTTTAATGACCTGGTAGGGGGAGAGGTTTTATTCGTACCACTACACGTTTTTAAATCCAAAAATTGGAGTTCCTTAAGAACGTCACCTGGAACCTTCTTCCACAGAGAATTTTAAATAAAACCATCTCGAAATGGTTTAAATAATCGCATTACTCATTGCATCTCATTGTTGTTGACTGTTATAAACACTAATTATCAGAGGATACCTCTTAAAGGAAATTTCTCAACATTTTGCGAAAATTATCAGAATTATCGACATTATTTTTGCAACTTTTGTCCAGTTGAAAGTATTTAAAAAAAATATCTCCTATAACCTGTAAAATGTATTATAGATATGATTAGCACATTTTCAAAAAATTATCCTTGTTACGAACTTGATCCAAACACCTAGCCATATTTTTAGAACTATCTTCGAACGACCCTGACAGGAATGTCACTTAATTTTGACACCGGTGAGACGACGTTAACAGCGCCTCTCTCCAAACTTCCACGTTTACAGCCTCGACAAATTTAACGTATACCTTGCTGCGTATACACGCCGGTTATTTTGTCATCTGCCAAAATCGAACTCCCAGCTCTCCAACCAGCAATGTGAGCGATGCCTTAAAACTGGTAGAGTTAAAGCAAGAGATCTTCAGCTTAGAGAAACCTAGACTATTCCTTTTCGGATCCTTTCATCACATACATCGATACATCGAAACTAGTGAAAAAATAATCAGCATAAGCAGATTATTTTTTGATATTTTTTATGTTTTGTTATTTTCTGAGCTATAAATTATTTTATAAATTACTTTATAAATTACTATTCTATAAATTAACTATTCTAAAAATAAATGATACACATATTGAGATTTTTACATTATTTGATCCATAGTTTGAAAGTAAATGAATCATTTGAATTTTCTCTTTCTTTCAAACTATACAAGCTATATTTCACAACTCAACCAGCAATAAAATATTATTTTTAAATCATTCATTCTCTTCCAAATATGAGGGAAACTAATTCGATGAAGTTTTAATTTGAATTCAATTGATAAAGCTTTAATTTGAATTCTGTAATAATCAGCAAGGGTTAACAAATTTATATTTAATGCAATTTTCTAAGTGGACAAATAAGAATACATTTATTGCTTCAGTTTTTGGCATTGATAAACGAATTTTTTTTTTTTTTTTTTTTTTTTTTTTTTTTTTTTTTTTTTTTTTNTTTTTTTTTTTTTTTTTTTTTTTTTTTTTTTTTTTTTTTTTTTTTTTTTTTTTTTTTATGGAATAACGAAATTTATGTCCATATTATGTAACGAAATTTATGTCGGCAGGTCCCATGGTCTGGTATCAGAAATTTGAATACGCTATTGGTCATTGGCTGCAAAAAGCAACGGAGCACATGATAGGCTGTGTACTTTGTAGTCCAGGATGTTTCTCGTTATTCAGAGCCAAAGCTTTGATGGATGACAACGTTATGAGGAAATATACAACAAGATCGGATGAAGCGCGACATTATGTACAATATGATCAAGGTATGTGATCATTCTTCAATTTTCATTCGATGAATTGCAAGTGTTATAATATGATCTTTTTTTAGGTGAAGATCGTTGGTTGTGTACTTTATTGCTACAACGGGGATACAGAGTTGAATACAGTGCAGCATCAGATGCCTATACTCATTGCCCAGAAGGATTTGGAGAATTTTATACCCAGCGGCGGCGATGGGCTCCATCCACAATGGCTAATATAATGGATCTATTATCCGATTATAAAGCTACGGTTGCAGTTAACGACAATATATCTTTGCCTTATGTTGTATATCAAGGCATGTTAATGACTGGAACTGTCCTCGGTCCTGGTACAATTTTTCTTATGTTGGTGGGGGCAATGGTCGCCGCTTTTAAAATATCCAATTGGAATTCTTTCACTTATAATATCATACCTATACTCTTATTTATGGCAGTATGTTTCATTTTCAAGAATGATATTCAGGTAATTTCTTTCAAACTTATTTAACTATAATGTAATTTTTCAATGGAACTGTATTTTATTGCTGTTAAAGGTCTGTATATTGTTTTTTGTAGATTCTTATGAGTGGGTCAAAGGCAAATCATTTATATTATATTTTACATTTCATTAAACGTTACAAAAATAGTCTCTAAAAGTTCGTAGTATTTTTTTTATTTAAAAAGAAGCATATATTTTGAAATAAAAATAATAACTAGTGAAATTTGTGAGAAATTTGAGAGCTAATTTTAAGATACGAGAAAAAAGCTCAAATGAAAACCTTTTACAACTCTTGCCCAAGCGTAGAATCGTTATAAACATTTCTTTATTATTTTGTGTTAAACACAACTAAATTTTTAACTGCTTAGAAATAGACAAATATTATGCTTGATTCCAACTTTTTCCTTATTTTAAATCTCATTTCACTAATGCTTTCTTGCTTTCATTGGGTTGATAAAAAATTATCTATTTAAATTATCTATTAGATTACATAGTATTAAAAATGTCACTGAATGTTTCTTTTGTAATGAATTTATAGCCGTTGGCTCAGGAGATAGTGCTCGCCTTCTAATGAGGTGAACCGTGTTCGAATCCCAGCGATGGCAAGGATGCAAATTCCGTATCCGACCGTAACGACCGAGAATGGATTCTTTCTCGGTTGTTACGATCCGACGCGCAACGAACACAGTACTGACGTAAAATATCTTCAGTGGCAGACGGACCATGGGTTACAGTCCTCTTGCCGTCAGACTAACCGTGGGAGGTTTTCATGGTTTTACTCTCCATGTAACGCAAATGCGAGTTAGTTCCAACAAAAATTCCCCCACGAAGGGGCAAATTTCTTCCATTATTTGATCCGGGAATTCCCTTATCTTCTAGATTGGGTTCAAAATTACAAAGCTACAGACGCAGTAGAACATTAGTATTCGTAACCAATAATTGGATCGGCTGTTTAACGACGGTTATAAAATCTAAAATGAAAAGGACTTAATATTGAGCTGCTGTGGCTCACTGAATAGAGTGCTTGCCTTCCAATGAGGTGAACCGGGTTCGAATCCTAGCGATTGCTGGTCGACTCGAATTTCTCACCTGGCTTGCACCGACCACAGTGCTGACGTAAAATATCCTCAGTGGTAGACGGATCACGGGTGAGAGTCCCCTTGCCATCAGAGTAACCGTGGCAGACTTTCGTGGTTTTCCTCTCCATGTAACGAAAATGCTGGTTAGTTTCATGCCCAAAGTCCTCCGCGAAGACAAATTTTTCCCAATACTTGATCAAAGAGTTCCTTTGTCTTCTGGATTGGGTTCAAAATTACAGGGCTACGGAGTTGAACATTGGTAGTCGTAAACCTAAAATTGGGTCGGGTGTTTAACGACGGTTATAAAATAAAATAAAAGGACTTAATATTAAATTGTAAGCAAAATGTCCACATTTGAACTATGAAAAGGAATTTATTTTAACCACTTATCGTTCAAATGTCACTTCAAAAACTTAGAATATTAAAATAAAAATCCTTCGTGTTCACATAACCTTCTCAATTTAGATTTTCATAGATTTTATTCTATAAGCATAATAACTTGAATAGCAAAAAGGAAAGAAGATTCCATTTTGGGGAAAGAAGTTAAACCGTTCTTCCACGTGATTCAATATTTCTTTATATTGTAATGTTTTTAAAAAAATATTGAATCACGTGGAAGAACGGTTTAATTTCTTTCCCCAAAATGGAATCTTTTCTTTTTGCTATTAAAGTTATTGTGCTTATAGAATAAAATCTAAATTGAGAAGGTTATGTGAACACGAAGGATTTTTATTTTAATATTCTAAGTTTTTGAAGTGACATTTGAACGATAAGTGGTTAAAATAAATTCCTTTTCCATAGTTCAAATGTGGACATTTTGCTCACAATTTAATATTAAGTCCTTTTATTTTATAACCGTCGTTGAATTCAAAAATGTGTAAGACATTAAACAATACAATGATTTTTAGATAATAATTATATTATATAATATATTATGTAATATAATATAATATAATAATTTTTTTACTAATAAATCTATTATGATAATGATATGGTAAATATGTTACGATAATTATCAGTTAGTAATTGATGAATAAATATTATTAGTTCAACCGATAGTAAAAGAAAAGCTTAATATGTTGTTTTTTCGATTGCAATAAAACATTTGAATTGCATAATATTTTAATAAAATAATTTCAGATAATGGTTGCTCAAGTAATGAGTGCTGCTTATGCTTTATTGATGATGGCTGTATTAGTTGGTACATCGATTCAACTTACTGAAGATGGTCTTGGTTCACCATCCTCAATATTTTTAATAGCATTATCGGGTAGTTTCTTTATAGCAGCCTTACTTCATCCACAGGTTTGTATAAATTATACTTTTTAAAATCTAGATACCTTGTATTTAATGTAAGTAAAGCACTACGGACATGCGTTATTGGCAAAACTTACCGAAAAGACACGAAACAAAAATTCCTTTATAGACTTAACATGAATTCATCGCATCGACAAGGTATTTTTATCAATCCAAAGCTCAAACCCATTGGTATGTGATTCTTTTTTTTGTATTCAAAATTATTAACAATTCAATATATTCAATTATAGGCAAAAATGTTCATATACGTGGTCACATGATTAGATTTTAAAAAAACTTTATAATTATAGTTTGAGGATTTATAAAGTTATTTTTGTTACTGTATGCTAAATAAACAGTTGATTTTGTGATAAAACGTTAAGTTTTCTTTTTAAGCAGTTATGTCTAGAAGAAAATTTAGCAAACAAGCTAAAAAATACGATTTTATTTTAATATTTCAAGAACTGAATCCGCTGATCAATAATTTATGTAATTTTGGTGTAGTTTCGTGTCTCTTGGCTGGGAAAAAAAACGAAACGTCAAAGAAGGAAACTGTTCAGATACAGTTTATTAACTTTCTAATCTTAATAAATTAGGCCAATTTGCCACCCATTAAATAAAAAAATAGAGACAAGGTATTAATAATGAAATTAAAATAATCGGAAAAAAACGGATAAGCTTTCAACACAGGAGAAAAAAAGCGATATTTAAGAAAAATTTTGTAAAATTTGATAATCGACTATACAATCTTTTTCTTTCGAGCAATTTTGAAACTGTTTGTCATCACTCTTCAACTATAGTTAGCGCTATTAAAACCTTTTTCCCTTGCGTTCAACACAAATTACAATATTTGATAAATTTCGCTGATAGTTTTCATTTATACTCATTTGAAACAAAGCCACATAATAAGCCTATATAATCTCACAGCCCCAGTCAAAGGAGGTACTTAATAGATAAAGGCTAGCTTCCTTAGATAAACTATGAGTAATGACATTATGAGTTCTATATTACCAGTAAGTACGCCGACCTCTATTATGAGAGTGAAGAATCCGCTAAAAAAAGTACGCTTATTCAAAAAAAAAAGTTTTTTGTCTGGGTTTGTATTTTGAAATATCATCTGCACAAATTAATAAGCATATTTAAAATCAACCCCTTGAATTAATAAAATTTGAAGGTGAAAATCTGATCATTTAATCAAAAGGTTTTTATTTTATTTTGTACCCTATACATTACTAATATAGCTTGCATTGAAGGTAGGATGCAACGATAACTAGATTAATTGTAAGCATAGTGTTAAGTAAATTATATGAAAGTCTATAAAATGCTGCAGGTAAAAAGTTATTTTATCCTATATAATATTGCTTTATGAGTTATACTTTAAAAAATGGCAATCTTTTATCAACGTGGTACTCTCTCTTAATTATTATATTGTTCCTTTTTAGGAGTTTTGGTGCGTTTTTCCGGGCTTGCTTTATTTCCTCAGTATTCCATCTATGTATCTATTGCTTATAATTTATTCCCTTGTGAACTTGAATGTGGTAACATGGGGAACAAGAGAAGTACAAACAAAGAAAACTAAGAAAGAAGTCGAAGAAGAGAGGAAAGAGCAAGAGGAACTTCTTAAAAAGAAAAAAAATACCGATCTTCTCTCTTTTCTTGGTATCGGAAGTAAAGACAACGAAGAGGGTAGTATAACGCTTAGTTTGGCAAACTTATTTACTTGTATGCTTTGCACATATCCAAAATCGAATGAAGACAAGCTTCATCTAGTGAAAATCGGAGATCAACTAGAACAAATGAATAAAAAAGTTACTAACCTAGAAAGGCAGTTGGAATTGTCACATGTAATACCTTTCAAGAGTAGGAGGACATCTGTAGTTGGAAGAGGGTCTGTACGAGCTCCATCTGAAGCTGGATTATCTGTTGTAAATGAAAACGAGGATGAGGAAGCTGAATTTGAATCAGACTCGGACTTATATTCTAATGAAGGATTAGGTAGGATAATTGCACTACTAAGTGAATTCTCTCAGTGGGTCCCAAAGATACTTTTTATTTATAACCGCCTCATTGATTTTATTACTTTGAATGCGTTATCTTGTATCTTGAGAAGTAGCGTAGCTTCGAACTTTAGTGCTACTTAACTCTACACGCAGTCAATAATTAAAAGATTCTTCAGCGAAAACTGTGAATTCCAGGGAATTTTTATATTTCTTTTAAATTTTAAAAATATAGAAGAAAACGTTAAACGTTCAACAATTTGCCTCAAATCGAAATTTTATTTAGATTTCAATGTATATGTTACCGGCAAAGTATGAAATCCGGCATTTTATAGAATGACTAGGCATTGTATAGAATGCCTAAAATTTTCCCGGCAAAGTATGAAATGATTTATATTTCGCACATTGCCTAGGCATTCTATAGAATGCCAAATGAGAAACCGGCAAAGTACAAAATACATCTCCGATTCGCCAAAATGTCATTCAAAAATGGCAAATTCAAAACGTCATCCGATTTTATATTAATTTATTCGTGGATATAGTTACATTTATTCGTTATTTTGATACTTACTCACGATAAATTAGAAGAAACATCAGTGTTTGGAGTATCGGGCAAATATATACCGGGCAATGGCCTTTGACCTTAAAAAAATATCAGTGTAGGGTAAACCGTGCAAATGTAGTGCTCGGTATACACTGATGTTTTTTTAAGGTTCAGTGCCACTGCCCGGTATACCCTACACTAATGTTTTTTTAAGATCAAGTGCCATTGCCCGGTTATATTTGCCCGATACACTCATGTTTCTTCTAATCTATCGTCAGTAAGTATTAAAATATCGAATAAATGTAATTATATCCACGAATAAATTAATATGAAATCGGATGTAATAAATATTTCGGACATTCACCAAAGCGACTATGTGATTGTCAACATTCACCGGTGAAAGTCAACAATCACCGATTTCGCTCATTCACAGTAACATGCACATCATTTACATAATAACCTCATCAGGACGTTTATTTTATACTTTGCCTAAATAGCATCCGTCATTGTATAGAATGCCTAGGCAAAGTATGTAATACTTCTCACATTTCATACTTTGCCTAAAAACGTCAGGCATTCTATACAATGCCGGCGTTTCATACTTTGCCAGTAACATATACATATTTTGTTTAAGAAAAAGTTTATTTTTTTAAAAAAATTGTAAGGTTTAATACCTATCATTTTTGATTTTGATGAAATTTTTTGGGTGTGTTCTTTGTGTAAAACTATAGATGCGTGTTTTTATTTTTGCAGAATATTGTCTTTTTTTTTTTAAGTTTAAGGAGTCAAAATTGAAGACAATCTAGTATTTTAAGAAAAACACATGGCAATACTTATTGTGCAATCATGAGAACGATACTTATGTGTTCTATTACTTCCTTACTAGCTATAAGAACATAAATATTAATTGACTTATTTTGCCAAGAGTGAACCGACGTCAGTGAATTCATACTAATAAGTAGTACCTGAAAAGATCTTCTGGGATGACCTTAAAATTGATCATACTATTTCATAAAACCGAAGTTTAGAACAAAGTTTGTTCGTTCTGCTATGCACTGCTTCACACTGAATTGATTCATACCAAAACCAAGTCTATAGAACAGCTGCATCAACTACTACAAAATATGATGATTTTATGTATAAAAAAACTAATTTTTGACCTATAGCTTTTTACACGTAAAATCCATAAAACTTCGAATCTATCGAATATTTGATTTAATAAGATTCACTTGCCTACATAGCAATGTTAAACGCGTTAAAAGATATAAATATAAAACTGAACTTTTTAATACATAAAATCTTTTACGACTTTTGAATTATTAACTTGAGTTTGGTTTCATTCGATTCAGCATGAAGAATTATATATCGGAAAAAAGATCTCATTTTTCTAGATAACAATGTGTAAATTTCACCAATTTTGACATCCTTCCCCTTAGTTAATTCAAGACGGCGACTGAAAACCTCCCCTCAGATTAGGAGGCAAACATCAGATATCCATGATGGGTATCATTTAAAAAAAAAAAAATTTGAATAAGTAATAGTAAATCTGCGAGTAGATTTCGTTTCTACTATCCTTCAGCCTTCTTTTCCAGCCAATTACTATTAACTAATGGCGAAGGCAGTTAATGACTTTAACCAAAGCATTTTTTTTTCAGTTTTTGGTCACGCCCAACGTACATAACACATTTTGTCTTAATTAGATATTCGCTCTGAAATATACATAGTTGTGATTCACTGTTGGTACAAGTAGGTTTCAACAGACAAAATCTAAGGAAAAAGTCTTACTTCATAGAATTTTGAATGAGCTTTGACCCTTATTCTAAGAGTCATCCATGAATATTTCTGTCCTCATAGTGTGGGAGCACAATTTCGACCATTCAATTTTGGCACAAAAAGTATTGTCATATGTTTAAATCAATGCGGTTTTCTTAAAATACCCGATGACCTACAGGTTTGACTTTCCCAATTTTTTTTTCCTCTTTTCATAAAAAAAAAAACTTTTAATAGTTTTACATTAAGAGCCTATCCTAAAAACTATAACAAAACAAAAAATGTCAAATATGTGTCTGATTTTCGAGATTTTTTCTTTTCCTTAAAAATAAAAAATAAAAAAAAAAAAAAAACTGGTTTTTGAGAGTGACTTTAAAGTATTTAGCAAGTTTAAAATGTCAAGAAGCTGAATGTTCTGTTAGCTGAATTTTAAAATGAGTTATTTTACTTTTCCTAAAAATGTAGAAAAGCCTTGAGATTTAGTTTTGAAGTCATTTAATTTTTAATGTATATAATTTAAAAAACAATATATTCCTTCTAATAGAATTGTTGTTGATGGCCTTCTTTAATCGAATAAAATTGAAACGAAATAAAAAGTTGGAAGAAAATTGAAAAATAGAAAGTAAAAATTAGATTCATTTTCTAAGGATGAGATCTTTTCTGCAAACTGTTTCTGAGTACTTTAAAAGTTTAAAGAATTTTCACAAGATAAGAACACAATACAGACAAATCTTATAACCTCTTGAAAATCGTTTTTCTTTTTTTCTTCCACTCAAAGTATTCTTTTGAACAATTTTGAAAGGTGACTTATTGTTATATTGCTCCAAGCCCTTCATATATATTTTTCATTTTACTGTATCAACAAATCATTCAACTTATCATTTTACTGTATCAAAAACTATAACGGTAATCTTTTACTCTGGACACAGCTCAAAATGTGCTTTTAAGAAACGGAACACAGATCAAAATGCGTGTTTATGAAAACTGATATAGCTATTTAAGAAAATGGACATTGCATACAAATGGGAATGGACATGTCATACAAATTTCTCTCATAAAAATTATTTAAAAAGAAAAATCAATTAATGGATTGAAATTCATTCATAATGTGATGCCGTACAATTTTTTAAATTATCTGTTTTGAAAGACAATAATTCTTTTTACAAAGTTTTGGTAATAAATTAACGTTGTACGAATTTAGAATTTTTTTAAAACCACTTCATCGTTTAATGTTCTGAATACAAAGACATGCCTGAAAATATATCTGTATAATATACCCAGCCACCCTGACTTCGAAGCCCAGGACTTAACTCCATAATGATTATGTTTAGCTTTTTAAAAAATAAGTACGAAATTCCCCGTTCAGTTTCACCTTTGTAAACATGTTTTGCGGTGTCCATTTTCTTAAACACGAATTTCGATCAGTGTCCAGAATAAAACGCTCACCGATGGCTATCATCCTTCAATGCTTGTCGGCATATAAGGCCTTTAACATGCCCTTACGGCCAATTCTTACAGCCATTGGCCGTAGATATGGTTTTACCCTAGCTTTTCAATTCTTTTTGTTTAAAGTCCTATCGTGTGACGGTTAACACTATAACAACGAGTTTCTTATTTTCATCTAAATATTTTAAGAATTAGATTCAAAATATTTCAAGTAGACTTTGAGACACTAAAATCTGTAAAAATATATTGTAAAATCTAAAATATTTTTCAATTTTAAAATGGGTTTCAACCATATATGGCAGTACTTTTACTTTCGTTACTTGTACCGCCGGTACAAGTAAAAAGTACGTACTTTTACTTGTACTTCTTAAATTTAGTACTCTTACTTGTACTTTCGTTACTTTTTTAGGGAAAAAGTACAAGTATTTGTAACGGAAATGTCGAATGAAATCGTTACTTTTTTCTAAAACTCAGTAAGCTTTCTAAAAAATTTTAATATCTAATTATTCATAAAAATTTTAATATCTAATTATTTTCTATTTATAAAATAACATTTTATATTTATTTGAAACATTTTTCATTCATTTAAATATGTCAATTAAAAATTTTGTTAACAATGTGTGCGCATTGGATGCTTTTTTAAGTAATTTAAATAACTAATTTCATATTACTATTACAAAAAATTTTGGCACAAGTTTTAAATTTTTTAACGTTAAAGTATTAAATTATAAAAACAATGCTTTATTTAATGGAGATGTAGTATGCATTAAAAAAAATCTAAAATATTATAATTTTTTTAATTTTGCAACAAAATATTTTTTTTGAATTATATTAAACGTAACATATATACTATTACGTAAACGTATTAGTTATTCATTTCATAAAATTTTAAAATGAAACATTTGTTTATAATTTTTGGATTTAGTATTGCACATCGTGGATTATTA